ATCACCGTCTCATCGTGCGATCCTGCTCACCGCCACCTCGGGGCATGATCCTGCGGGATCACCGTCTCATCGTGCGATCCTGCTCACCGCCACCTTGGGGCATGATCCTACGGGATCACCATCTCATCGTGCGATCCTGTGTCACCACAGCCTCACAGTGTGATCCTGCGGGATCACTGCTTCACAGTGTAATACTGTTTTGTCAAACCTTTTCCATGTGTGGTTCCATTTGTTGAGAAACATGAGGTAACCACAGCTACGGTTATATTTATGTTACAACAGGATCTGAAAATATTGCCTGAATTTTGAACGAATCAGAGTATACATTTTAATTCATTAGGGGTATATACATGTTAAGACTCTTTTTTTAAAATCCATTTTTTTTTTTAAGATTTTATTTTTAAGTAATCTTTACTCTGCATGTGGGGCTCGAACCCACAACCCCAAGATCGAGAGTTGCATGCTCCACCGACTGAGCCAGCCAGGTACCCCTTAAAATCCATTCAAAAAATGATCTTCAAAACAAAAAATAATCAGATTATTAAAATAATAGTCTCACCTCTTCAAGGGAAGATTCCAAATTCATTCCAAAAGCAACTCCCATTAGTCCAAAGAGAGAAAGAGAGAAGGTTCCCATGGTCAACTGTAGGTTCAACCTCATCATCACATTACGGTGGCTGGAGAGGGTAACAGCTTAGATCAGAAGGGCCCACTATACACAGCAAATTCACGAAACCATCTATTAAAGACCACAGAAATTAAATCTACTCCTTTAAAAAAGGACATCTTTCTGTGTAGCATTTATAGATAATGATGGTATAACTCCTCCCAAAATGACAGTTCCTTAAAAGCTGTATCACTTCAGAATTCCTTTAATTGTTCTGTAGGATGCTTTCTTACCTGTCCAGATTGATGAATATGATACTTTGTGAATCATCAATCAGTATCCTGAGTTCCCGGGTTGCATTGGAAAGATCCTCAGCTAATCGGTAGTAGTTTTCCAAGAGCAGCTCCATCTCTTCTGCATGGTCGATTCCAGCACTGCTCTTTTCACTTCAATTAAGAGTTAACATAATTAGCATACTTTGGGCCTCTTTAACTCATGCCTCCCACCCCCTACCAAGGAGAGTAAGTAGGACTGAAGTACTCTGTGAAAGATACTTCTAGAATATATTAGACACAGATTGGCCTAATAAGCAAAGCAAACAAGAGTTACAAGTGTGTTCAAGTTTCCAATACTATATCTATCTGCTATATAACAGCCCTTATAATCTTAATTTTTTCTTATTAGAATATAGATAACTAATGTCCCAAGATGCTTAAAAAAATCTGTATCGATTGTGGAAACTATACACATTACAGAGGTGTCTCCATTTATTTCTAATACTTGTCTATAAAGAAAATGAAATATTCTGAGTACTTAAAAAGTAAACATTTAACTTGAGTGTGCATAAGAAGAGTAAATAATTTCTAATTCTGTAAGAGATAAAAGGTTTCTAAGATAAGCATTTTTATATTAGACCAAAGTTACAGAATATATGCCAGTGTCTTACTTTTCCTTCATCCCCCTTTCTCTGCCCCCATGTGAGTATCTTTCCCTCTCTTCCACTGTACTCCCCAGGCTAAGTCATTCGGATAGATGTGTGTGCCACTTTGGGGGTCAGTCCCTTGAAGACAAGGTAATGGTTTATATTCATCACAGCCCAGCACAGTGACATGTACAGAGTAAACACTCAATATATCCTCATTAAACTGAATCAGATGCAATACATACGGGAAAATAGTGAAACAACTGGGGATAAAAAGTGCCTATATTTTCTATTCTGGAGAAAACGTTATGTTCTCTAAGAAGAACCACCCTGCAGAACACGGAAGACTGATCCTAACTAAGTAACAAAGCGGGATTTACACTTACAAGACTTGCGGGTCACTCCACTTTGTCAGACACAGCTCTTCCAGTAACTCTTCTTCATCCAAGATCTCCAAAATGGATTCTTTGAAAATTTTAATATCTGTTTCTAACTCTGACAGACTAGAAGAGTAATTGTATAGAAATGATCAATAACATTAACTTATAAACACATTTCCCTATTAAAAAAAGTATCTTTTTAAAGTATCTTATCAAGTAGACCCACTTATATATTCATGGTAAACACCAACTTATAAAAAAAATTTTTTTTTTTGATATTTACCATGCACATTAAGAATCAATTCCTATCAAAAAATAAAGACCCTAATACAGCATTTCATGCAAAACAGCTTTTCAATAAACATTAGTCTATGTGCCCTTTTTAGCTCAGCTTCCCACCTAGGCTACCTTTCTACTTTGAAGGCACAGAGAGAAAACCATTACCATTAGCAAAACTAGTTGGTATTTTTTTTTTTAATCTGAATTAATGTTATACATTTTCTATCAGGACTACTAAAAGAGAAGCTTAAGATATTTTTGTCTACCTCCCAACTTGGTAAATCACCCATATTTACCTTTTGCCATTTTGCAGTAAGATGTGCAGTTTGCTTCTGTCTACAGAAGAATGTTTGGGATCCACCAAAGCTTCCAATGTCTCAAGGATCAGTGGCTGCAAAATGCTAAGTTTCCCCTGAAGAGTGCTGATCTAGATAACAACATGACCTTTTATAAGAATCAAAACAATCTTTTTAGAATACTCAGGGTCAGTGAATCCTCTGATTAAACACAGAAATCTGTAATAGCTAGAAAGGCTGGTAATGTTTCAGACCATGGTCAGGGCTGGAATGATTCAAAAACTAGATCTACCAGGTTAAAAGAAAACCCATGCATAATGCTACCAGGCTTGCATTTGGTGGACTGGGAATTAATTCTCGTAAGAGTCTTCCCCCACAAACATTTATTATGAAAAGAACGCAAGATTGATTAAAATAAAGCCTGGCATTCCATGGTTAAAACACATACTTTACACTTGGTAAACAATATCCATGTTCTTTGTAAGCAGAATACAGTTCAAAACTCCTGTGAAAAAAATTCTTCCAAAAACTAAAACATAACTTGGGACTTTAAGAAATCAATCAGTGTCAAGTCAAAAGTTCACTCATTATTGAGGCGTCCAGCAGGAAAGCACTGATAGAGCTACTCCCGTTGTTAAAACACTGAAATACTTCCGTACAGCTGGTGAGCAGCGTAAGAGAGTTAAGCAGCGCCTGTGAGACGACGAGCGGCACAATGCCAGCATGTACTACTCATCTCAGCACGAGCTCGCGAGAGCTTACTCAGCCCACGTAGCCTGCCACTGGCTGCACCTTCCCTCCTTTCCCTCCCCGGCATGCTCCCTGTTCAGGAACTGGGCCCCAACTAGTCACCACCTCCTTGGCTGGTGCTCGCTGGTGCTCCTCCCTCACGAACCTGAGCAAGTGGGGGATGTAGCCGTTTCCTACTCCCTCGGTACAGGGCAGGGCAGACAAAAGGGAGGGTCCTGGGTTGATCCAATCCTCACCCACTGCACGTCCTCTTCACCTGCTTCCTTCCCTCACTCTGGTTAGCATGCCCTAGAACCAACTGTTGCGTGCAGCCAGTTCCTGAACAGTACTATCCTGACTACTGGGGGGAAGAAAAGATAATGAACAATTTGTGGGGCCAGGAGGGCAGTGACCACCGTTGTTCAGGGCCTGACAGGGTCCCTAGACACCCAGTAACTATCCACATAATGGGGGAATCATTAGAAGAATTAGACCTGGTTCCTATGTCAAAGTAGATCTCAAACAGTGGCATCATCTAGCGGTCTCCAAGGACTGTACACACAAATCAGAGTGATATGTAAAATATTAGAATGATTTGAGCTGTAATGTTTATCATGTGTATGCAGTTTTACAACACACAATTTAGTTACAGAATAAAATAGAATACATTTAAAACTTTTTTGATATGTTCTCTTATATCCTATTTAGGATGTTAAGTATTTTGAATTATCACCCCTAAAATACAGTTATCAAAATTATACAAAGGACAGCCAACTTCAAATGTGCTTAACTGAATGTCATAATATGACTCTCAAAGAGACTCTATAAACTGTACCTAGAGACCTCGGATCTATTTGATTGGATCATACAGCTTAAGAAGTAAGTACTTTCGCCACACAGGACCCTCACATATGTTTTTGTTTGGAGGTAGGGTGTGGTCAGGGAAGGTGCCATTGAAACAATACCAGCTTGTCTTCCGACTCAACAGCATTTTAAAACAAGAACAAATTCAAGAAGTGAAATAAAAACAGGCTTACCCAATACTGTAGGAGTGCTTCTATAGCCCTAAACTCAAAAGGTAAAGGGTAGGTGACAAGCTGTCCTTCTCCAGCCAACTGTGAAGGGAGTTCCCGGAACAGCCATCGTTCTAAATTTAAATTACGATAATCTAGTATCAGAAGACACTCTGGAGTTATCACAGCTTTCAAATACTGCAAAAAAAAAAAAAAAAAAAAAATTATCCATATGTACACACAAGCACACACACATACATACATGAAAGGTGCAGAGCTACAGGAAAAGAACATTCGTAAAATAGGGTTTAATACTGTTTTAATTCTGGATTAAGCCTAAACCAAATCACTATTAAAAGAAAAAAAAAAGACATACTTTTTAAAGAAAGGAAGCCTAAAAATATATGTTCTTCTAACTCAATCTCAGCACAACTGGAATTAAGCTATATATCAAGACTTCCAGGATAATCAGGAGAACAACAGGGAACAAAGGAAACAAGATAAGGTATTCTTAAGTCATGTATTTGGTAGACTTTTAGAAAAGATTTAGTTTAATCATGATTACTTTGGCTGAAGTGGGAAAGTTGCCTTTTTAAACTGTCACCAAAACACATTAAGCTAATTTGAAATTATAAAGATAAAACATAGCCTTAGTACTCTAATTTAGAGCACCAAGAAATTAGAAATTTACTCTAAAGACTGGCATCCGTTAAGTTAGAAGAGTAGCCTGTGGCCACTGTTATTAGTGATATAGAGATTTTTCACATTTTTCCCCAACATATTATGACAATTTTTATACATAAGAGTTGAAAGATTACAGAGTGAACACCTATATACATATCATTTAGACTGTACAAATAACATTCTAAATTTGCATCACACACTTCTCTCATCAAAGAGATAATTCTTTTAAAAAATGATCAGGGGAAAGAAAAAATTATTTTAATTCCAGTATACTTATCAGTGTTATCTTAGTTTCAGGTGTACAATACAGTGATTCAGCAATTCTATACATTAATCAGTGCTCATTCGTGGTAAGTGTGCTCTTTATTCACCAACACCTATTTCCCCCAAACCCCACCCACCTCCCCTCTGGTAACCATCTGTTTGTTCTCTATAGTGAAGAGTCTGTTTCTGCCTGTGCTCTCTTCTAGGATTTTTATGGTTTCAGGTCTCACATTTAGGTCCTCAATCCATTTTAAGTTTATTTTTGTGTATGGTGTAAGAAAGTGGTCCAGTTTCATTCTTTTGGATGAGGCTGCCCAGTTTTCCCAGCACCATTTATTGAAGAGAGACTGTCTCTTTCCCACTGCATGTTCTTGCCTCCTTTGTTGAAGATTAATTATCTCTAGGTTTTCTATTCTATTCCTGATCTATTTTTGTACTATTACCATACTGTTTTGATTACTACAGCTTTGTAATATACCTTGAAATCTGGGATTGTGATGCTTCCAGCTTTGTTTTTCTTTTTTAAGACTGCTTTGGCTAACTGGGGTCTTTTGTGGTTCCATACAAATTTTAGGGTATTTGTTCTAGTTCTGTGAAAACTGCTCTTGGTGGGAGGAAAAGATTGTGGTGGAGTAGGATACTAGGCTTGCCTCCTCCCACCAATACAACTAGGTAACTACTAAACCATCCTGAATACCCCAGAAATCAGTCTGATGATTGGCAGATCAAACTCCACAACCAGAAGTAGAAGGGAGGCCACAAAGATAGGAAGGATGGAGCTGCAACTTGTGGCCACTGTGGTGGGGAGGGAGCCGTGGTTGCGGGTAAGCATAACAGATAAACTAGCACACAGGACAGCGCACAGGAAAAACAAAGCCCCACAGCAACTGGCTTGAAAAGCAGGAGAGCCTGAATTTCATGAGTTCTTATAACCAGTGGGGCTAAAAGCCTGGAGTTTTAAATGTCAGCATGTATGGAGCACAGAGAACACTGGGGCAGCTCCTGGAGAAACGGCAGGGCAAACAGACCTTGGACATACAGCAATCTGAAGAGCACCTGGGGCACACAGTGGGGAAATGTTGGTTGCTCATCTTGGAATGTGTCCCAGAGAGGCAGCATTCATGGAAAGACCACTCTAGGAACGAAGGAACAGGCAGGCGCCATTTCCCTCCCCTGCCGCTCAGCATAAACACAGAGGCACCTGCGGAAACCAGCCTGGCGGCGACCCTCACCACCTCAGCTGCTCACACCAAGTCTCACCACCCCAGAGGCACCTGCGGAAACCAGCCCGGCAGCGACCCTCACCACCTCACCTGCTCACACCAAGTCTCACCACCCCAGAGGCACCTGCGGAAACCAGCCCGGCAGCGACCCTCACCACCCCAGAGGCACCTGCGGAAACCAGCCCGGCAGCGACCCTCACCACCCCAGAGGCACCTGCGGAAACCAGCCCAGCAGCGACCCTCACCGTCTCAGTCCCACCGGTCTCAGCCCCAGCGCAGCAGGCCCCCTCCCTGAGAAGACCAGCCCAATCCCCTGCTCATACCGCATCTCCTGACCCAGGAGTTTTGTGAGGCCTTGGTTTCCATGGCGGTAGCAACAGCTCTCATTTCACAAGCAGACAAGAGCACACCTAGTTAAAATGTGCCACATTCAGGCCAGGGACCAAACATTGTCCACAACAGGCAAAGAGAGCCTCTGCAGATGACTGGCCTGAAGGGTAAAGTGGCCAGGACACAAGAGCAGAGCTCTCCCAGCACACACTGGAGATACTCGCAGAAGTGCCAGGCCCTGGGAAATGGGGGACACTACACTGCAGGGACTACAAGACCTCTTTTTCATAAGGCCATTATCCTTAAGAAGAGGAGACCTAGCTGACTTTCCTAACACACAGAAACAGGCACAGAGACTAAGACAAAATGAGAAGACAGAGGAATTTATCCCAAATGAAAGAACAGGACAATGCCACAGCCAGAGATCTAAGCAAAGCATATATAGGTAACATGCCTGATGGAAATTTAAAACAATGATGATCATAAGGATACTAGTTGAACTTGAGAAAAGAGTGGAGAACATCAATGACATCCTTAATGAGATGAGGAATAATAAAGAGATAAAGGGCTCAATAAATGAAATGAGAAACATTTTGCTTGATGGAATGAAAAGGCTGGAAGGAGAAGAATGAATTAACGACCTAGAAGACAGAGTAATGTAATCAAGCTGAACAAAAGGGAGGAAAAAATTATGCAACAGGAGAAAAGACTTATGGAACTCAGTGACTATCAATTGTAGTATCATTCATATTGTAGGAGTCCCAGGAAAGACAGAAAACTGGGTAGAGAATTTACTTGAAGAAGTAATAGCTGAAAACTTCCATAATCTGGGGAATGAAACAGATATCCAGATTCAGGAGGCAAGGAACTCCCAACAAAATCAACAAAAGCATATCCACACCAAGACATATTGTAATTAAAATGGCGAAATATAGTGATAAAGAAAAAAATATAAAAAGCAGCAAGACAAAGATGATAGTTATATACAAAGGAAACCCCATATGCGGAGAAAGGGGAACCCTCCTACACTGTTGGTGGGAATGCAAGCTGGTGCAACCACACTGGAAAACAGTATGGAGGTTCCTCAAACAGTTGAAAATAGAGCTACCATACGATCCAGCAATTGCACTACTGGGTATTTACCACAAAGATACTAATGTAGGGATCCGAAGGGGTACGTGCACCCCAGTGTTTATAGCAGCAATGTCCACAATAGCCAAGCTGTGGAAAGAGCCGAGATGTCCATCGACAGATGAATGGATAAAGAAGATGTGGTATATACACACAATGGAATAGTATGCAGCCATCAAAAGGAATGGGATCTTGCCATTTGCAACGACGTGGATGGAACTGGAGGGTGTTATGCTGAGTGAAATAAGTCAATCAGAGAAAGACATGTATCATATGACCTCACTGATATGAGGAATTCTTAATCTCAGGAAACAAACTGAGTGTTGCTGGAGTGGTGGGGGGGGGGAGGGATGGGGTGGCTGGGTGATAGACATTGGGGAGGGTATGTGCTATGGTGAGCACTGTGAATTGTACAAGACTGATGAATCACGGATCTGTACTTCTGAAACAAATAATGCAACATATGTTAAGAAAAAAGAAAAAGAAGAAGATAGCAGGAGGGGAAGAATGAAGGGGAGTAAGTTGGAGGGGGAGACGAACCATGAGAGACGATGGACTCTGAAAAACAAACTGAGGGTTCGGATGGGTTAGCCTGGTGATGGGTATTAAAGAGGGCACATTCTGCGTGGAGCACTGGGTGTTATGCACAAACAATGAATCATGGAACACTACATCAAGAACTAATGATGTTAATGTATGGTGATTAACATAACAATAAAAAATAAAATAAAAGACAAAGGAAACCCCATAAAGCTATCAGCAGATTTTTCAGCAGAAACTTTCCAAGACAAAGGGGTGGCATGATGTATTCAAAGTTCTAGATGGGAAAAACCTGAAGCCAAAAATACATTATCCAGCAAGGCTATCATTCAGAATAGGAGTGAGAGTTTCCCAGAGAAACAAAAACTAAAGGAGTTCATGACAACTAAACCAGCCCTGCAAGAAATATTAAAGGGGAATCTTTGAGTGCAAAGGAAAGACTAAAAATGACAGTATGAAGTTTAGAAACACAAAAGCAGTAAAAATATATCTATAAAAAAAATCAGTCAATGAACTCACAAAATGAAAGGATGTAAAATATGATACCATATACCTAAAACATGGCGGGGGGGGAGGGAGAATGGTTCCAAACTTAAATGACCATCAACTTCATAAAGACTGCAATATGTAGATGTTATATTCAAACGTAATGATGACCACAAGTCAAAACCAATTATAGATATGTAAAAAAAATAAAGGACTCCAAGTCTACCACTAAAGAAATCCAGCAAACCATGAAAGACAAGAAAGGATCAGAGAAAATCTTGAGAAACAACCACAAAACAAGTAATAAGGTGGCATAAATACATTTCTACCAATAATTACTTTGAATGTAAGTTGACTAAACATTCCAATCAAAAGACATAGGGTATCAGAATGGATTAAAAAAAAACAAGACTGATCTATCTGCTGCTTACAAGAGACTCATTTTAGACCTAGACACAGATAGAAAGTGAGGGGATGGAAAAGTATCTAAGTATCTTCATGCAAATGGAAGTAAAAAGAAAGCCAGAGTAGCAATACTTTTATTGGACAAAATAGACTTTGAAACAAAGACTGTAATGTGAAACAAAGAAGAACACTATATAGTAATAAAAGGGACAATCCAACAAGACATAACAATTGTAAATATTTATGCACCCAACATGGGAGCACCCAAATACACAAAACAGTTAATAACAAATATAAAGGAGGTATTACTAATACAATAATAGTAGGGGGCTTTAACACCCTACTCACATCAATGGACAGATCATCTAAACAGAAAATCAACAAGGAAACAATGGCTTTGAATAACACACTGAGCCAGATGGATCTAACAGATACATACAGAACATTCCATCCTAAAACAGAATACACATTCTTTTTGAGTGTATGTGGAACATTCTCCAGAATAGATCATGTATTAGGCTACAAAACAAGCCTCAATAAATTCAAAAAGACTGAAGTCATACCATGCATCTTTATTGACCACAATGCTATGAAACTAGAAATCAATCGTAAGAAAAAATCTGGAAAGAACATAAATATATGGAGGTTAAATAATATGCTACTAAACAATGAATGGGTCAACCAGGAAATAAAAGAAGAAATAAAAAGGCACATGGAAACAAAGGAAAATGAAAATACAATGGTTCAAAACCTTTGGGATACAACAAAAGTGGTCCTAAGAGGGAAGTATATAGATACAGTCCTTCCTCAAGACACAAGAAAAATCTCAAACAGCCTAATCTTACACCTAAGGAAGCTAGAAAAATAACAAAGCCTAAAGCCAGGAGAAAAAAGGAAATAAAGATTAGAACAGAAACAAATGATATAGAAACTAAAAACACACTAGAATAAATGAAACCAGGAACTGTTTTCTTGGGGGGGGGGATAAAATAAAGCCTAGCCAGACTTATCAAGAAAAAAAAAAGAACCAAAAATAAAATCACAAATTAGAGAGGAGAAATAATAACCAACACCGCAAAAATACAAACAGTTGTAAGAAAATATTATGAAAAACTATGCCAACAAACTGGACAACCTAGAAGAAATGCTTAAGTTCCTAGAAACTAGTACCAAAATTGAAACAGATTGATGTAGAAAATTTGAACAGACTAATTACCAGCAATGAAACTGAATAATCAGTAACCAAAGAACTCCCAACAAAAGTCCAGAACCAGATGGCTTCACAGGTGAATTCTACCAAAAATTTAAAGAAAAATTATTATCCATTCCTCTCAAACTATTCAAAAAAAAAGGAGGAAGGAAAACTTCCAAATTCATTCTATGAGGGTACTGCTACCCTGACACCAAAACCAGATAAAGTTACCACAAAAAAAAAAAAAAAAAGAACCACAGGCCAGTATCTCTGATGAACACAGATGCAAAAATCCTCAACAAATACTAGCAAATCAAATCCAACAATACATTAAAAATACATTAAAATAATCATTCACCATGATCAAGTGGGATTTATTTCTGGGATGTAAAAGGTGGTTCAATATTCACAAATCAATCAATGCGATACATCACATTCATAAGAAAAAGGATAAAAACCACATGATCATTTCAATAGATGCAGAAAAAGCATTTGACAACGTACAACATCCATTCATGGTAAAAACATTCCAAAAGTCAGATTAGAGAGAACATACCTCAACATAAAAAGGCCAAATAGGAAAAACCCACAGCAAACATCATACTCAAAAAACTAAGCTTTTTCCCTAAGATCAGGAACAAGATAAGGATGTCCAGTCCCACCACTTTTACTCAACACAGTACTGAAGTGCTAGCCACAGCAATGAGACAACAAGCATCCAAACTGGTAAGGAAGAAGTAGGATTTTCACTGTTTGCAGATGACATGGTAGTATATATAGAAAAACCTTAAAGACCACCAAAAACCCACTAGAGCTTATACACGAATTCAATAGTCGCAGAACACAAAACCAAGGCACAGAAATCTCTTGTATTTCTATATGCCAGTAATAAAGCAGCAGCAAGAGAAATTAAGAAAACAACCCCATTCACAACTGCACCAAAAACCATAAGATACCTAGGAATAAACTAACTAAAGAAGTAAAAAATCTGTACGCAGAAAACTACGAACACTTATGAAAGAAATTGAAGAAGACACAAAGAAATGGAAAGACATTCCATGCTCACGGGTTGGAAGAGCAAATATTGTTAAAATGTCTATACTACCCAAAACAATCTACAGATATAATGCAATCCCTATCAAAATACCAACTGCATTTTTCACAGGCCTAGAACAATCTTAAAATTTGTATGGAATCACAAAGACCCCAAATAGCCAAAGCAATGTGGAAAAAGAAAAAGCTGGAGGCATCACAATTCCGGACTTCAAGCTCTATTACAAAGCTGCAGTCATCAAGACAGTATGGTACTGGCACAAAAACAGACACAATGATTGATGGAAAGGAATAGAAAACCCAGAAATGGACCCCCAACTATCTGGTCAACTAATCCTGACAAAGCAGGAAAGAATGTCCAATGGAAAAAAGACAGTCTCTTCAACAAATGGTTTGGGATAACTGGGCAGCCTCATCCAAAAGAATGAAACTGGACCACTTTCTTACACCATACACAGAAATTAAAAATGGATTAAAGACCTAAATGTGAGACTTGAAACCATAAAAATCCTAGAAGAGAACACAGGTAGTAACTTTTTTGACACTGGCTGTAACATTTTTCTAGACATATCTCCTGAGGTGAGGAAACAAAAGCAAAAGTAAACTATTGGGACTACATCAAAATAAAAAGCTTCTGCACAGCAAAGAAACAGTCAACAAAACTAAAAGGCAACCTATGGAATGGAAGAAGATATCTGCAAATGACATATCTGATAAAGGGATAGTGTCCAAAACATATAAAGAACTGATCCAAAAAACAAATAATCCAATTAACAATGGGCAGAAGACATGAACAGACATTTCTCCAAAGAACACATCCAGATGGCCAACAACAGACACATGAAAAGATGCTCATTATCACTTATTATCAGGGAAATGCGAATCAAAACTATAATGAGAAACACCTGACACCTTAAAGAATGGCTAAAATCCACAACACAAGAAACAAGTGTTGGTGAGGATGTGGAGAAAAAGGAACCCTCATGCACCGTTGATAGGAATGCAAACTGGCGCAGCCACTGTGTAAAACAGTATGGAGGTTCCCCAAAAGGGTAAAAATAGAACTGCCCTACGATCCAGCAATTGCAGTACTGGGTATTTACCCAAAGAATACAAAATACAGATTCAAAGGGATACATGTACTCCTATGTTTACAGCAGCATTATTTACATAGCCAAGATATGGAAGTGGCCCAAGTATCCATTGGTTGATGAATGGATAAAGAAGATGTGGTATATGTGTATCATGGAATATTATTCAGGCATAAAAAAGAATGAAATCTTGCCATTTGCAAAGATATGGATAGAGCTAGAGAGTATAATTCTAAGCAAAATGAGTCAGAGGGACAAATACCAGACGATTTCACTCATAAATGAAATTTAAGAAAGGAGCAAAGGAAGAAAAAAAAAAAGACAAACCAAGAAGGAGAATCTTAACTATAGAGAATAAACTAATGGTTACTGGAGGGGAGGTAGGTAGTGAATGGGGGAAAAAGGTCATGGGGATTAAGGAGTGCACTTGCTATGAGGAGCACTGGTGATTAAAATAAAAACTTAGGGGCACCTGGGTGGCTCTGAGGGTTAAGCGCCGTCTGCCTTCAGCTCAGGTCATGATCCTGGAGTGCCGGGACTGAGCCCCGCATCGGGTTCCCTGCTCAGTGGGGAGTCTGTTTCTTTCTCTGCCTCTCACCCTGCTCATGCTCTCTCTCTCAAATGGATAAATAAAATTAAAAAATAAAATAAAAACTTAAAAATGCTGTTGGTATTTTGATAGGGATTGCATTAAATCTGTAGATTGCTTTGGGTGGTATAGACATTTTAACAATAAACCATAAGCACAGAATATCTTTCCATTTCTTTGCATCATCTTGAATTGTTCACCAGTGTTTTATAGTTTTCAGAGTACATGTCTTTCACATCCTTGGTTAAGTTTCTTCCTAGATATTACTTTTGGTACAATTGTAAATGTTTTCTTAATTTCTCTTTCTGATGCTTCATTATTAGTGTACTGAAATGCAACTGACTTCAGGGGTGCCTGGATGGCTCAGGTGGTTAAGCCTCTGCCTTTGGCTCAGGTCATGATCTCAGGGTCCTGGGACCAAGCCCCATGTCAGGCTCTCCGCTGAGCAGTGAGTCTGTTTCTCCCTCTGCCTCTCCTCCCGCTCTTGCTTGCACTCTCTCTCAAATAAATAAAATCTTCAGTCTTAAAAAAAAAAAGGGGGGGGGAGGAGGAAAGGAGGTCTAATGTCTACTGCAGGGCCCATACCATCGAGAACCATGTCTCATCTATTTCTGAACCCTAGACTTTAGCTCACCAAAATTACCTATGTTCGAATTTACTCTGAATCACAAGTCAAATTATATTTAGTGCACTCTCAGTAGGCAGGGGAAGATACAACTTATTTTAGGAAGCTTTTGGTTAAAATAAAAATTTAAGTTAAAATTATAAACTTCAGGGGATATTCCTGGTCTATTTGGAGAACCAGAATGTTCTTGGTAGCTGAAGTTATACTACAATGACATGTAACTGTATACAACTGAACATGTCTATTATAAATCAAGATTCTTTCTCGTATCATTTCAGAAACGAGAGACCAAATTCAAGCAGTGAGAACAGAGACTACAGTCATAACTTTTCCTACATAAAATAGAGCAGAGTTATGCCTTTCATGTATAGCATCCATGAAAGTCTGAGTTCCACTCACAATGACACATTACACCATAAAGTATCCTATGTTTTACACAGCCATTTCATTACAAAATTGCTTTTAAGGTAGATATTGATCAAGATGGCTAGGAAGGAACTTTTGTAAGATTCCAGTGAGAAATGCAGATGACATAAAACCCTTTACCTCCATTCTCATGATAATCCTATTGTTTCTGGTTGTGATGCTCATCACATGCTGAAACCTCAAATCTCTGGCTTGAAGACCTAATTCTTGATATAAGTCAGTTTTCTTCTTTTCTATAAAAGAAATATTTTTAACAAAAAGAGTGGGCCAAAGCAATTAATGGAAGCCTTTAGTATCAGGGCATCCTTTCCTCCAACAGCGACATCATTTTCTACTACCAGAAACAAGCCAAAATAAAGTCTTTTTAATAGCCATTTTTACCTCAAAAACATACGCTAAATTTGGTCAAACTCTAATAATTCTTTTCTCATCTTATCCACACTTCATAAAATTTCTTTGTATTTAGATGTCCCTTGGGACCAGTATAAAATCCACAGCCACACACAATTAAGACAGTATCAATTTCTAGCTCTAGAAATGGATTTTTATTTTTAAATACAGATTATACAGAACATTTCTGATGTTGTCTATCTTCAGTATTTTAAATCTGTGAACAGAGAATTCAATTTTCTTGGTTCTTGGACTAATACAATATGAGAAAATAGTTTTCTCACTAGATTCTCCCACCCGAAAACTAACCTTATTACTTAAGAATAACGGATGAAGAAACTCAAGAAACGGTTAAAGTGGCATCCAATCACACCTGTGACAGAGCGCTAATTAGAACAGTCATTTGAAGGAGACAATGGGCAAAAAATACCCCAAATTTCCCACCAGGATCTCGGCAAAAGCAGGAACAGGATCACGGGGCTGGAAGCACATGGGAGATCTGAATGAAGCCTGCATCTGAGGTCAGACAGTAAAGTGATGCTTAGTAACTGTCCATAAGAGCGATCATCGGCAGAGTGTCATCTAGTACCCTGCCCCTCCTGTGTTGTCCCCCCACTGCCACCGCAGTGTCGGTAGTACTATATAAGTCTGCCTTAAATGTGGAACAGGAGATGTATACGTGGAGTAGCGCATGGAAAGGGAGACTAAAAAAAAGAAACAAAATGTGCTCCAGCTGCATAGCAGCCTCTGCTCTCAAAAAATTCCTTTAACATCCTGTTAGAGAGAAAGTGGCTCCTGACAAAAAAACAGAAACCAATTCTGGGAGAACATGCACAATCCAGGTGTTGCCAGTTCCAATTAGGACTGATGGACAAACGCTGAAGATAGATCTCTTTCAATACACCCATACACACAAAGACTATCCTACTCAAAACACTGCAATTTCTTGATTTTCATCAGATTCACTCATTCACTGATTTAAAAAGTGATTTATAAGAAAATGAAAGATACTCACCAAAAGAAGTAACATTTCCCTCTTTGTCAAATTTTGTCTGAAGACAGATAATAAAAACAAGATATTATTTTCTCCCAAACATACATGCTCTTTACAGTATTACACCGTATGGTATTATGACAGCTCCCAAATACGGCAGTGCACAGATAAGCCATAACTGCTTCTTTAGGTTAAATTCAGTTATGAGTTAAGGGTTAAAAGAATCCCTTTCTCCTCTGCTAGGACAAATGTGACCTTTGATTAACTTTCTGTCTTGGCTCCCCTGGAAATCTGATAAGAGTATCAGTTGTGTTACTAAGCTTTAGCTTTACTAAACATTGCTTATGGTAAAAATGCTCAATGCCTGGTAGATTGCTTGGGGCCAGGAAGACTATGAACAAATTACGGATACCTGGTGGGAAGCCATCCCCCTGCTTTTCCTTCAGTGGGGTGGCTCTTATAACTGGCCGTGTTCCTTGCAGGAATCCTGCGTAGGCTTTGGAGATGGTTACAAGAGATACCAACACTAAAAGGTATGGGGCTTCTAAGCTAAGGTGGAACTTGCACCCACCTTTAAGAACATCAACTCCTTGCACCTGTTGTCACACAGGGTCCAGAGAAGCCGCTGGATGGCTGCAAGGACTTCTCTGGAAGAGGAAACACCTGATGCTGCCCTTTTGCGTTTCCTATCCTTTATCCTTCTGAACTGAGTGAGACCACATGTGGCTTATCTTGTGAATCTAAGTATCTATTGGAGGCTATACAGTCTCTTTGGTGAGTGTTGTAGAATCAACAAAGATTTACAGAAAAGGCCTCTTCTGATAGTTTGAAGAGAGGACATGATGCAGAAAATATACTTATTTCCTATAAAGCAGAGGAAACATTTTTCTGAAATACTTGTCCACAAGTATTGAATACTTGTCAAGTCTGAATATGTGCTGGAATGTACTAGTTACTATTAAACACACATGTTCAGAAAAACTCTAAGGTATAGCTGAAGGTACAAGTGCTGGGTTATTACCATGGAAATGTATGCATGCTCTGTTAATAGCAACAGAATAAAATCTCAGTGTATATTTTAGCTTGCTTTTCACAAGCAAAGATCAATATGAGTACCATAAGCCATCAGTGTTAAAGGGCAAATTTACGTCAAAAGAAACTATTTTGTGTAATATAGACTAGCTTTCCTCAAATTTATTTCACAAATAGCTGCTGCAGAAAATTTGAAATAAAGTAAAATAAATCACATGAAATAAGACAAATTTTAGAGAAAACCATGCCAATATTTTATTGAATGTTCTCCCAGACTTTTCCTACTCAGTATATTCATGTTACACTTTTCTGCAGTCTCGCCTCCATTTTCAAATTAATATAGGAGTATTTTTGCATCTCAAAATTTATCTTTACCGTTTTCCTTTCATCTATAGCGAGCTGATTAGCAAGCTCTCATTTCAAATAGTATCAACTAATTTTCTTAGGTGTTCTTGCGACACAATGATTTCACCTGCAAAGAACCTTCTTTCAATATTTAATATCTGAATTTATTCCTAACCAAACTGGCCAAATGTTCTAGAACATTAACAGTGTTAACTTTCATATGTAATTCTGGGGGTTATTTTGTTGCACAGTTTATAAAGAAAAGTTATGTTAATAAGCCTAAATAATGATGATGATAAGGCTAATATATATTGAATGCTTACATGTGTGAGGGTTTTATATACAGTCATTGAGTTAATTCAAACCTCACAACAGTTCTATAAGGTAGGTACTATAATCCCCAGTTTAGAGATGAGAAAACAAAAGCATAAAGATGTTATCATACCCTGTCAGAGTCCACCAAGTTAATACTAAGAGGCAGAGCTGAGATCTGAATTTAGGAATGCTAGTTCAGAACAAGCACATTACTTTTTTTAATTCAACTTTTTCTAAAAAAAAATTAAAGCCCTACAAAAAAGTTGCAAGAATATCTTACAACCAATTCCCATGTGACTTTCACCTAGTGTCATCTTTTGCTAACATTTTGCCCCGATGGCCTAATTTTTCTCTTTCGAGATATGTGGGTGTGATACACATTATTGCTTATTATTTTCTCCTGAATCTTTTCAGAGAAAGTTGCAGAGATCATGAACCTTCAAAGCATGCACTCTTAAATATTACACTTTGCTGTCTTCAAAATACTTCTGCATATATTACGTTGCATAGCACAGGATCAAGCACCTATGGCTAACAGCCTTCAAGGACTTCTACATGGATTCACGGGGAAATCTTGAGAAGGAAGTGCTGAACTGTGATTCAAACAACCAGTTCAGGATTAAAAGAAGACTTCCACAGTCAATAGCAAAGTTCCAAGGGTGCTGTTAAGTAAATCTAGCTGGCACTCAGGTCACTAGCTAAAAAACACAAAGACGAGAGGACTTAGAAGTATAATGATTCACTATAAAACAAAAAATAAGTATTACCTTAGCCGACCAGTCTAACCCAGTTAACTTAATAAGTATGGGAAATACTGTGTAAGTTATCAACCATACCATACATACTCACCACAGTAAACACTGGCGCTACACTGGCTAAAGTGGCTTGAGAGACATCAGAAGTTCTAAACCGGTGCGTTTCACCTGAAGAATAAATTAGAGAATTCTCTGTGATCATTCAATAGGTATTAACATACGGCTACAATATAACTCTATTATGTGGTCTTCTATTTTACTATTTTTTGGAAACTTTTTCCTAGAGGGAAAAAAAAACTTTTACTTGCTAATGTTAACATCTGTAGGGGATTATGTTAGATTTGGCAGGGAATGTTTTTTTAAAAGTAATGGCTTAGGTGAGGTACTAGAATAATTTATGGATTCCAACCGCCTTTATTCTAATTACTGGTACCTCAAAGTCAAATGAACAAATGTGTAACAGTGTTCTGAGATTAAAATGTTCATTTTTTTGCATGATTTAAAAAGGCTCTTCATGAAAATTATACTGGTAGATATATTTTAGAAAACATAGATCCTAAATACCACCAGTTTCAGCATTCCAGTATCAGGATTATTTGATGTATAAATTATGAAACCTAGATTTTACTTCCGTACTAACTTTTCCATACTTTACTAGTGAGTACTTATGAAATAAGCCATTGAACTAGAATGCAGGCCCCAGTGACCTGGAATGAAGAAAAATCTTTATTTGAAAAAAAGTCTATTTAAAACGTGATTAGATTGAGTCAAAATGAGTTCTGAAGTGTAACCACGTAAATTTAATGACTGACAAAGGACACCATTCAAAATACTAAACATAAAAGGAATGGGCAGAAAATGTAAAGATACTACCAATTATTTTCTGCTTCCAAAGTAATCATACTGACTCCACAGAACGTGCAGAAATATTCTCATTTCTGATCTTATTCCTTCCCGTTACATATAGTGTCTCATGTAATTTGTTAGCATCTGAGGTTTGTTGTTTCCCTTTTATAAAAGGGTCAGAGGAATAAAGGTAAAAGTCAGGGCTATAAATCAGCATTTTGCTAATCAACCACAAGTTAGATAAAACGTTTCCATTGAGATTCTGAATCTGTGTTTTGTCCTAAAACAGCAGATGGGCTGAAACTGGGTTCCCAAGCATTAAAGGAGGGAATATGGGGTGTACCCCGATTCAGACTCTAGTGAGTGTGGGGGTGGTGGTGGTGAGTTGCTTTAGAAGGCTTCTGAGTATAAAACTGAGAAAACAAGAACAGCGCAATCCTTTTGAGAGCCATACATTTTCATGTCGCTTGTTTCTGACCAATATTAGCACCTATATTCTCACATTTCTGAAAATGTTAACATATCATCATGCTTTATCATTTGGTGAAAAAATAACTCCGATTCCTCCTCCTCCCCACTACTGACCCCCTGAGGCTTGTTACATCGTACTTGACAAATCTTTCTCAGGAGCAACTCTTACTATGAAATCTCTAAGTTTTCAGCCTCATCTACAGGTGCGTCCCCATTCCTTACTTGAACAACTGGAAAAATGTATCAATGTCCAAAGGGAAGAAGACTGGGAAGAGAAATACTTAGATAAGGGTGAAACTCTCATTAAAACAAGCAAAAAAACCCTTCCCACAAGAGCACTCCAGCGGGCACACGTGCAGCGAGGGGCGTGGGGACCCCAGAGGGTCACGGCACACTGGCGGGTCCGCACTGGGGGCCGCCGAGACTCCAGGACGCGCGCCCCAAGGGCGGACCCGGGGCCGAGGCTTGCGCGGAGCGGCCACGGCCACGCCTGGTCGGGTCGGGCGGCCGGGTCTGGGCCCCGGGGACACCGCAAGACCGGCGTCCTGGGCTGCGGGGCGGGGAGCGCAATACCTGCCACGCGGGGCCGGCGGGGCTTGCACAGCGGCGCGGCCCGGCTCTGCCCGAGAAGTTGGGCCGCGCGGCTGCAGGCGGCAACGGAACGCGCCCCAGGGGTCAGGCCCTGGACCAGAGTACACAGCGTGCGCCGGGGCAGCCCCACAGCGCTGGGCAGGAGCCGGCTCAAGCTCCGCAGGTATTCCATGGCGTTGGAGCGAGCGGGAGGGGGCAGCAACACCCCAGACCTTCATGCCGCTCGGTGGCTGGCCAGCCGGCACCGACGCGACCCCACGCGGGTGCTTAAGGTGCGACCGCTGCGTACTGAGCATGCGCGGGGCGCGCCGCGCCTGCGCCTCCTCTCCCGCGCATGCTCGGAAGATGCCTTTGGGGAGCGCTCCTTGCGTCCCGTGGCCAATCGGAGTTCGCGTCTCGTACCTGGAACGGGCGGGCAGACGGCCTTGGGCTGGTGGGCGGGGCGCGTCTACATGCGCGGCGTGAGTTGTCGAACCGAGATCCTTGCGCCCTTGGAGAGGTCAGCCCGGCGCGTGAAGGGTTAATATTCTAGGTAACTAGGAATGTGAAGAAATACGCGGCTTGTGTATAATGCTTTGCAGTTTCTGGAGCACTTTCATACATATGATAAAACGCGTATAGTTGGAAGTGAGGAAGTTATGCCCATTCCTAACTCAATTTATATTTAAATTTATTGTAGCAGAAATAATTGTCCTGTGGAATGATGTACTACTGCGTGTGAAGATTGAGGAACGTAAACCCACAAGATTTACACTCAGTCTTTAATCAACTGTAAGATAGTGTCAATTTCAAGGAATCATTACTTTATGTACCACCAAGAAAGAAAAAATTATGCTTTCTAATTATATCATTTCAAGACTTATCCCAATTTCAGTCTTTAAAATACGAAAAAAGTGGGTTTTTATACTGATTAAATACAGTATATATGCATATTTTAAGGTAGTTAATACTTGTTTCTTCTACAGTAGTAATAGAAGACACGTGAGTTTCACAGATTCCCATTCAATCACTGTGTATAAACAGCTGAGGAAACACAACAGCTTTTTTTCTTTTTCTTTCTTTCTTTCTTTCTTTCTTTCTTTCTTTCTTTCTTTCTTTCTTTCTTTCTTTCCTTTTCTTTCTTTCCTTCTTTTCTTTCTTTTTCTTTTTTTTTTTCTGTAGGGTATTGAGAATGAAGCTGAATTAGGAAGCCAGCACAGAAGAGAGGATGTTTAACTTTAGCATTGAGGGCAAAGGAAAAAAATCAAGCATTAAAATCTGGAAAGAACGTACCTGGTAGATTTTTCATTTTATTAACAGCTTCAGTGATGAAGCTTCCAAAAACACGCCTTCAGAGACCTTTCTTTGAGACAACATGATAATTCTTTTTTTAAAAAAATTGACCCCAGCTCAATGAGACAACTCTGTTTAAGATATCCTTGCAAAGTCTTAGAAAAGCTCTGGGACATGGCCAGACACATCACCTTGCAATTCATGTCAAGGATTTGGAATTTAATCTGGGAAGGGTGGGAGCCATGGGGGGACTTCAATGAACAGAGAGGTAATGATCTGTATGTTTAAATGGGTCATTCTGGCTGCGTGGGGAAGACATTACAGAGAGAGAAGTGTAGAGACAGAGAGATAGTGATGATGGTGTGTGCCAAGGTGGGTGATGGAGATGGGGAGACAGGGTGAGCTTGCTGCTATATATTGAAGACTGATTTGACAAGATTTGCAAGAGGGATGTAAGTAAAGAGGCATAGAAGTTGACTCCAAAATATTTTGCCTAAACAACTGGGCAATCATGGTGCCATCTACTGAGAGGGGATTTTAGAATGGAAGAAGTTTAGTTGGAGATCATGTTATGGGATGGCATTTGTTTCTGGACATGTTGAATTTGAAAGCTCTACTAAATAGATATCTAAGCAGGGATATCAAGTAAGCAGTCTGGAGTTTGGGGGAGACGTTGGTGCAAGACATATATATTGGGGGCTATATAGAGGTATTTAAAGCCATAGGGCAGGGTAAGATCTCTTAGGAAGTGAGACAGCAAAGAGTAAAGTTCTTATGATTGAACTCTAGATCTTTTAGCATTTAATGGTTAAGGACAAGAGATGGATCCAACGGAAGAATATGAAAAGGGGTGGCCAGGAAAGAGGAATAAAATCAGAGGGTGGAATCCTTGAAGCGAAGTGAGGAAAGTATCAGGAACGAGGAAGTGCTCAATTATGTCAAACGCTACTGACACGTAAGATGAGAAATGAGAATCACCTATGTTGGAAGTGACACTTTGGAGTTTCCTGGTGATCATGATAGGAGCAATTTCCTTAGAGTGGTAGGGAATGGGATTTGGATTGTCATCTTCCATGGCCCAAGCCATGGCAGGATCCCAGAAGATTTCTGTACCTGTATAACAATTTAGCCTTCAGGTTCTTTAATCTCTTTGCTTAGCTCTGGAGCTCCAAAGCATGTCAGTTACCTTAACCCAGCCTCACACACTGGACTGTGTTCTTACCCAGAAGTATTTTGTGTCTGAAATCTTATACCAATAATACACTCTCTGACCCTAACCTCCTGGAGGCTTTATACCCACAACAATTATATTCTCCCATCAGACCCTTGCCAACTTTTCTCCCTTCTCTACCTAGCCCAGATTATGTACTTACCATCTGAAACCACTATGACTAGTACTCAGAACACATGGCATTCATGGGGTGTAATCACAGAAGCCACTTTATTTTTGTCCCTCCAAACCTGCTGAGTGGGGCTAGTCCTTCTCTGGCCTCTTAAAAAACTTGGGTAGGTTCCATGACTTTCCTGGTCTCTCAGTCCTATGTTAGCTCCAACATCAATTCAGTAATTGAAAATGTGCACTCCATACACTATTTTCAATTTAATAATTTGCAGTGTCAGACCCTGTATACTAATCACCGCTGCAATACTAATTCAAAGAAAAGACTTGATTCCTCTCTTCTTTTTTTTTAAAAAAGATTTTGTTTATTTATTCGAGAGAGAGAATGAGAGATAGAGAGCACGAGAGGGAAGAGGGTCAGAGGGAGAAGCAGACTCCCTGCTGAGTAGGGAGCCCGATGCGGGACTCGATCCCGGGACTCCAGGATCATGACCTGAGCCAAAGGCAGCCGCTTAACCAACTGAGCCACCCAGGCACCCTGATTCCCCTCTTCTTGTTGAGCCTGGAGGCAAAGAAGAATTTTTGGTGTGGATAGGGATCCAAGACAACTCCCCCAATCCCTTCCCACTCCCTTTCTTACTCTGTGGCTGCCATTTCTGACTTTGCTGGGGCCAGTGAAGCCAAGTAAGAATGAATGGAACATTTTTACCAAGAGATGGCATCGTGTTCTCTATAGGCAGGGCAGGTTTTAGAGCTGACCTCTTTGTGGGCTGGTCCAGGGTTCTCTGGAAGACCTCCCCCTCCCCCCCCAGGCCTATCTGGTTGCCATTTTTTTGATATGAGCAGTGACCCTCCTGATCATTTACAGATTCTGCCTCTTGCCTCAAATGACCAGGTTTCTCTCTTCCCTACATGCTGCTCTTTTGGGCAGGATCCTTTAAAAAACAACCCAGACTGATTTTTCCTGCTGTCATGTCTGCACCATTAGATGGAACACAGTTACTTCCCTGGCATAGAGCTGCTATCTAGCCCCTACTTAGGTATGAGCCTGTGACATTTTTAAGCCCTTGGAGGGATCTTAAAAAGTTCCTCTCACTAGACTTGAGGTGAGTGGCAAGCACTCCACTTACCCTTTTTCTGGAAGCTTTTCTAAATCTTCCACACAGGGAGGTCAGGGACAGCCTTTCTCAGGAAATGACACTTTAGTTGAGACTGGGATGCTAAGCATTAGCAACATGCCAGTGAGGGACTAAGAAAAATGCCCAACAAAGTAAAAAAAAAATGGGTGGGAAGACCAGTATTATTTGGCCATTGGAAGAACTGACAGAGATGGCCTTGTCTGGAACATGGTGTTCGAGTGGGTCTAGGGGAGGCCAGAGTGGTAGGCTGGAACTGGGCTTTAGACAAGTTAAAGAGGGCGCCTGGGTGGCTCAGTTGGTTAAGCGACTGCCTTCGGCTCAGGTCATGATCCTGGAGTCCCGGGATTGAGTCCCGCATCGGGCTCCCTGCTCAGCGGGGAGCCTGCTTCTCCCTCTAACCCTCCCCCCTCTCATGTACTCTCTCTCTCTCTCTCTCATTCTCGCTCTCTCAAATAAATAAATAAATCTTTAAAAAAAAATAGACAAGTTAAAGAGTTTTGATTTCATTCTTTGAGAAATGGGGAAACTATCAAAGGGTTTTAAACAAGGGGAAGGATTCCATTTTCATATGGATGGATGGATGGATGGTTTAGTAGGCTCCATGCCCAGCATGGAGACTGATGTGGGGCTTGATCCATGACCCTGAGATCATGACCTGAGCCAAAATCAAGAGTCAGATGCTGAACCAACTGAGCTACCCAGGTGCCCCTCCACTTTCATTTTTAAATGACCACCTTGGACTGTCTTGGGGGAACAGTGGAAGCAGGAAGACCACTGGGTGGCTTCTGCAGGCATCTTTACAAGCCTTGATGGGGCACTGGGTGAGGGCAGGGACAGAGGTTATGGAGAGAAAAGACTGGAGAGATAAATGGAAGTAGGGTGGTAGGACTTGGTGATGGGTAAGGAGGAGAAGGCACACTAGTCTGTGAGGGCCGCCATAACAAAATTTCACAGACTGGGTGGCTTAAACCACAGACATTTGTTTTCTGACAGTGCTGGAGTCTAGAAGCCCAGGATCAAGGTGCTAGCAAGTTTGGTTTCTCCTGAGACCTCTGTCCTGGGCTTGCAGAAAATGACCTTCCCCCTGTGGCCCCACGTGGACATTTTCTGTACGTGTTCATCCCTGGTCTTTCTCTGTGTGTCCTCATCTCCTCTTCTTGTAAGGACACCTGTTTGATTGCATCATGACCCACCCTCCTGACCTCATTTTTATTTAATTACCTCCTTAAAGGGCCTGTCTCCAAATATAGTTACATTCTGAGGTACTGGGGGTCAGGGCTTCAAAATACGACTTTGGGGACACAAGTCATTCAATAACAGAAAGTAAAGATGAAACCATGATTCTGGGAGAAGCAAGATGGTGAATGATGGCGCTACCTACTGAGTCAGGGAAAGCTGGAGGAAGAAGAGTTTAGGGGAAAGATTGGGAATTCTAGTTTCGACCTGGGACCTGTTGAATTTGAGATTGAGTA